ATCTTCAGTAGTTACTAAAATATCGCAGTTTTCGTATTTCTGAAAATTACCGTTATATGGGAGGTAGGCGTGGTTATTGTTCGATTTTGCCCATTTTCAATTCCATCCGTCCTACGCCGGAAAGAAGTACACGTGCCAAGTTTCGTTAAGATATCTTAATTTTTACTCGAGTTATCGTGTGCACAGACGGACGGACAGACAGTCACCGCTTAATCGATTTCTCTTTTCATCCTGATCATTTATGTATACATTTGTCTATATCTATCTCGATTCGTTTTGCCTGTTACAAACAACCGTTATGTGAACAAAGTTATAATACCCTTGTGCACAAGTGCGCTCGGGTATAAAAATAAAAAAATGGCAACACAACGGTATTTTGTAGTCACTTAGACTTGCACTTTATTAAAAAAAATTCAACGGGCTACAAAATTCTAGCATAATCATTAGTCATATTTGAATTCGCCTTGGTAGAGAATTGTTACAGAAACGAGCTACTGGAATGTCCAGACTCTTAATGGTGATGATGGCTCTGCCCGGTTGGTTGATGTCCTCGGGAAGACCAAGGCTACTATCGTTCTCACGGAAAGGACCGCGAATCGATGTTGGATTTGTGGCGGAAAAGAGACCTCATCGCTAAGTATTCACTGTTATTATTGTTGCTGTTGCCTAGATCGGCTTGTCCATCCAACGTTGTCGTCAAGTGCAGCTAACGGGATACCCAGGAAGAGCGCAATTTCCACAGGGTTTGTCCATAGGGGCAAGGGCGTTAGCTGGGAGGAGTTTTGGGGGGCATGTGCAGAGGTGTCGTGAGTCATGTGGTGACTCTCCGCATGCCGGGCACACGTTGGTCATAACTGCGTCCACTCTGATGAGGTACGAGTTTAGCCTGCTGCAGTAGCCAGAGCGAAGTTGGGTTTTTGTGGTGCGAATCTCCCGAGGAAGACAAAGCTCTGTCCCGTCCACTTCGGGTGGTTGTGTACTCAAAATTGCATTCACAGGTCGGGATTTGATGCAGGTTGGGACCGACTGCCGTTTATGGCCTTTGCTCTGCTCTGCAGCAAACAGGTATCTGTTCGGGTGGCCGCGTCTGTGGCACCCTACTAAAGAGAGCTTATAGAGCAATGTGTTATGCTCCTTGATGGGTCTCTCGTGTAGGTGGTGTTCTTCCGACATCAGAAGGCATCCATTCGCGGTCCAGAGTGCCGCATGTTTGTAGCTTCGTCCACTGCGTCCTGCTAGTCCCCGGCGTCCATACAGGCGCTGCATAGTTTAGAACCAGGCAGCCTATTGACTTGAGGACCTTGTTGCGGCATTGTACTATATTGCCAATTGAGGTTGATGCGCCGAGAAGGAAAGCAGGCTGCCGAAGGTTGACCGTCGGGATCACCGTCGCAATTGGTTGGCCATCGACATGTATACCCAGCTGTAGTCTGACCTCCTTCGTCCAGGTACTCAATGTCGTTCACCGCTGTGGACATTTTTTATGATGTTAATTCTTCACGAAGTAAGCTTTTAAGCTTGCAGGGTGGAGGGTATGGGCATTAGAGAGGATAAAGATACGCGTAAATTAAATATCTGTTGTTTCAATACTAGAACACAAAACACGCTTTTATTTGCTTATCTTTAAACATACAATTTACCAATCAATCAAATGTACCTCCACAAATAATCAGTTAACAATTCAATACTCATGTAATTATGCGCGCATACATAGAGGCTTACAAACGGACATAGAGATATACATACATACATATAATATTATTATAGGTAAAAAATAGTTAGTTGTTCACATTTACAGCGAAGAGGTAATAAATATTAAGCGTTGAATTAAGCCATTAATTTCCAATGAATTAACAAACACATAATAGGCAATGAAATTGCTTTATAAAATTCTCTTTACGTTACTTAAGCCATTAAGAATGCCGCTACTTTTGTTGTTAATAAACTTAATAACAGCATTGTGACCACGAAACTGATTTCAATAGGTTTCCGCATGGATGCACCACCAATCAAATTATCCACAAAAGGTATTGCACTTGGAATTTCCAAGTCATCTTCATCAGAGTAGTCTTGTAGAGTCACATAAAGGACGGTGCGATTATTGAGCGGTTGCAAGCGTGGGAAACTTGTAGGCAATTGGGTGTTGTCAATCGAATACAGACGATGAAAACGTTCCACCTAGACCGGAAAAGTGTGAGAAAATGAGAAAAAGGGAAAATAACATTACAACTTTTTTGTTACAAAAAGAAATTATAGACTCCATGAATCCTGACAGTATAATACATATTATGTAAAGATATATCTTAGACCTTTACGCGTTAGCGACGGCGATTACCGCAGACGATGCAGCGATGTATGACCTTTACAAAGAGATAGACATAGTGCAGCGAATTAAAGTATAGCGGCTCCGCTGGCTTGACCATTTCGTTCGAATGGACACCGATGCTTCAGCTCTGAAAGAATTTAACTCGGAAGCCGCTGGTGGTAACAGAGGAAGGGGGACGCCCCCCACTGCGATGGAAAGACTAGGTTTAGAAGGACTTGGCTTCACTTGGCATTTCCAATAGACGTCAGTTGGCACAGAAGAGAAACGACTGGCGTGCCATGTTGAACTCGGCCAAAATCGCTTAGGCGGTTACATCGGCAAATAAGAAGAAGTATATCTATCTCAGAAAATGGCTCAAGTACGCCCTACTTCGGCCTTTCTCGCCGATCTTTCAAATTTCTTCACTATCAGGAACCGCGAAACCCATCGCTACACTCTTCACCACCTCGGCCAAGGAGATTAGAATAGCAAATTCTAGAAGTTACTTTCGATAGCGTCTTATCCTTTTCAACGCATACCTTCGCCACTTTTAGCGATTTACCTGCCAGGAACAAAGTCCTCAAGTGGCTAGCCGGCAGCACCTCTGCGCACAATGTACCAAGTGAACGGCCGATCGGCGGCAAACTACGCAGCGCCAATGTGGTAGACAGAGACGAGCAACACGCTGTGAAGTAATCTACAAACATGTCAGAACGAAGCTCTACAACAGCCAGATTTGTAGCAGTGAAAGAGCACAACACCCAACTAGCGAAGCACCGAAGGTGGGGTGTCACCATGGGAACCATCGAGAAGTGGGACGGCTCCTGCACGAGTGAAGAACGGACATCGATCCGTACGGATCGACCATCCATTCGCCGATATATAGCGGCACTCAACAATCACTATAAAGATGCTGCTTCTTAGCACAGGTAAGAATAACATCGTTCTAGGTGGCCAACCGACACTGATTATACATTTAGAACGCCGAACTGGCGAGGGAGACCAGATGCACCCTGGCACATCTACGTTACAGTTGAACTTATAGGCTTAACAGCTACCTCTCACGGTTGATCGCAGAATATCAGCGCAGCATGCGGGAAGGATCCATATAGCACCCAACACCTCTTCATATGCACCTCCAACCCGACGACTCTGACACCGGCCCATCGGCGCTGCTCGCTACCTCGGTACCCCCCTGATATTGTCTGTCATTTCAATAATTTTTGTAGAACGCAAAACTTAAACTCCCAATCACCATTCATTCATACTTACCTGTCTAACTGAGATGCGAGTTGGTTCCTCGAAATCAAGCCAAATCACCTCTTCACTGCAAGGTGGTGTGGTTAACGATCCTATGTAGGTATAATATTCCATTCCAATGTTTATGAAACACCAAAGGTCGATTTCATCGTAAAATTTGGTTTCGGTATGCGGTTTAGTGATGTGCGACAACTGCTCAGTGATCTCTTTATAAAATAAATTATCATTTTCTGTGATCTACAATAGAATAATGATATGACTATTTATTGACATTCTATCTTGTTTTGCTGTATAAATTTTTAACCTCATAAGCATAGGCCAAAATTGCCAGACCCTTACTCTGCATCGCCGCTTCGTCCAATGTTTGATACTTCATATTTCTAAAAATCATATGCAACTCTGGTGGCAATAATACTTTATTTTTGTGATCCTCATCATCAACGCCATCCCTTTTGAACCAGTAAAACTGCAATTGCTCGAAAATGTATATACCATCAAGTGGCCCACCCATTATGGATGGATGTTTAGCCGCGTATTCCAATCGTACCACCACAGTGTGTCCATTATTAAGTATTTTAATGCTTTTTGGAGCAACTTCGAAATACTCGAAAATGAGTCGTCGATAATTACGTTCAACTATATTGACTGAATCGAGATTGAGTGGATTGGTATGCTTGCCACCGCATATACCCCCTTGCTTGGGTTCTAGTTCAGATGAAGGAATTTTATTTATTCAGCAAAATATTTTGAAATGTATGTATGTATATTAGGGCGGGCCAATTTTCTTCCACAATGCGCGTATAGCATAGGAGGATTCTACGTGTAATTCTAAGCAAATTTGCCGAAGAAGTCCCGAGTCTAAAATCAATTTGGAGTTTGCGAAAATAAGTTTCGCGAAAAATGTGAAAATGTTCACTGTAGCGCCCCCTGGTGGAAGTTTTAAGAAAAATATAAGTGCAGAAATGGATTCCTCATACAAAAAAAACTCCCTTATAGCATGTTTTTTTTACAAAATTTAAGCACTTCTTTACGACACTACAGCAAAATGCTTAGAACCTATTTTCACATTTTGGCAAACTCCGAATTGATTTTAGATCCATGGTCTCTACAGCAAATTTGCTTAGAATTACACATAAAACTCTGCCGTGCTATACGCTCATAACATACAAATTGGCCTGCCCTAATGTACATATCTAGTATGCATAGTTGGGTGTCCCAAACTTTGTCTTTTGCGAGATCCGAAACCTTTTGTTTTTACCTAAATAAAATATATGTATGTATATGCACATATATAAAGTTTTATAGCTGTAGGATAACGAAAGCCAAGCCTCCACTGGACCACAGCCACTCAATAAGTCCGGCGCGCGTCGTACCGTCCACCTTCTGTTTAACTTTTACATCTGGAAACTTTCTCGCTCACCAGAAGTAGTTTCGCTAATCTCTTGCATAAAAGATGCTACTGCATGTCATTACTTATCTCCGTTCGAAAGTAAATGTCTACTTCTNAAGCCTCCACTGGACCACAGCCACTCAATAAGTCCGGCGCGCGTCGTACCGTCCACCTTCTGTTTAACTTTTACATCTGGAAACTTTCTCGCCCACCAGAAGTAGTTTCGCTGATCTCTTGCATAAAAGATGCTACTGCATGGCATTACTTATCTGTGTTTTTGAAAGTAAATGTCTACCTCACTGACCGTTCGCGCAATCGTAAACATAGTAAAGAGCCTCAACAAGGCCCTTGAATAGTTGAGCTCTGAATACTGCAACTAATCACTTACCTTTGCATTCAGGTTCTGCCCTAAAATACTCAATATCCATGTGCCCGGTTTTTAAAGACACTAACCACCTACTTACTTGCTTCCATTAAACCTACCACTCCTCTCCATTTGGTGCGATAGCGGTAGACAGCACGTTTCCAATACCACACCGGTTAGTTTAAGTGGACGAGAACGGTTAATAGACTAGCCGATTTAAGCATGGTTTAGTAGTGAGACTAGAACAACAACAACAGCAAACGTACCGCGCATCACAGACAATGGTAATGAAGAAGGCAGACCCCGCAGACCCCGCAGGCCCCAATGAAATCGAAGCAAACCGCAGGATACAACTGAAGTGAGACAACCTGTAGGCGCAGAGCTACTAGTTGCCCGTCACGGTAGTAGATAGTCGAGCTGTACAAAGATGCGATCGCTAAAATAGCTCGTCTTAAAACTTTAATGGACTAAAGAAGAATGTCTCTTTTTCTTAAAACGAAATCAGAACTATGCTTTGGCAAGATCGCCTTAAAGGTCTACAAATGAAAACTAAGTAAGATGGATGCTTTCTTACAATTATTTGAAACGGATAACTGATATGAAAGACCCCTTTTAGGGAAAAATAAAAATTAAATTTATATCCTTTAATGACATTGTAAAAATAAAAACTTATGTTAAACATGCCGACTGTGGTTATCCCAGTATAAGTTTTAAACCAAAATAACAACTTCCGGTTGACACGGGTTATCGTCATCCTACAGCAATAAAATTTTATGTATCGCTAGCGTAGGCACTCGGCACATTACGCGCCCAATCAAAGTACAGTAATCGCTTCATCATACCGAAGCGAATGCATGACGACTCGACTTCTGCACACTTGGGCGCCCTGCGTAAGCCCTGCTTGCGCGCACATTACACATTTTCTGGCCGGTATTTCTCAATAATGCACTTCCGCGAACGTTTCTGCAATAAAATATTGCATAAATTTATGGCTTAATACACTTGGCACGAGTTTTACCACAAAATCATTAATTTTCAATTATTTCCTACTGAAATGACAAATAATTCTTATTTCGAGCACATAAAAGTAAACAAATGCCGATATCAAAACGGGCGCTTCGATTCATGAAGTTTTTATGATTAGGCGAAAACATGATTATGAATCGTAATATACAGAGCTTCATTGAAATACATGTGTTCGGTATTAAAGCTTCATACTTTAGTACGCCGGAACGATTAAAGAATGTACACNTAAAGAATGTACACGAAAAAAACTGGTCACAGTTAAAACGTTCTAAAACATAAATATATTAATGGAATTCAACGATATTTACATATATTTACATCTAAACTTAGTTTTATTGAAATTCGTTAAAAAAGAGTTAATTCTCCTTGTAATAAGCAAACGATCGCAATTTTGACTTTATGTCCTTCATTAGCCCTTGCACAGAAGTTTCAGTGATTTCCTTGGAAACCAGCTGCCATTTATTTTTGAATTGTTGTGCGTTTTTTACAGCTTTGTGGGTCTTAAGAAGTTTGGATTTCATAACGGTCCAGTAGGTTTCGATCGGCCGATGCTCTGGACAATCAGGTGGATTCACGTCTTTTGCTACAAAATACACTTTGTTTCTATGTTACCATCCTAAAGCCA